TGTTGAGGTCCCTATAGTTCATTTTTGCTTTTGTTTCCCTTGTCTCCAGAGACATGTCTAGGAAAGAAATTGCTGGGGCTGAGGTCAAAGAGGTTGTTGCCTGTTTTCTCCTCTAGAATTTTGATGTTTTCCTGTCTCACAGTTAGGTCTGTCATCCATTTTGAATTTGTTTTTGTGTATGGTGTAAGAAAGTGGTCCAGTTTCATTCTTCTGCATGTTGCTGTCCAATCTTCCCAACACCATTTGCTGAAGAAATTGTCTTTTTTTATTCTTTCTTGCTTTATTGATGATAGTTGACCATATAGCTGTAGGTCCATTTGTTGGTTCTCTATTCTGTTCCATTGATCCATGTGTCTGTTTTTGCACCAGTTTCATTCAGTCTTGATGACTACAGCTTTGTAACATAGCTTGAAGTCCAGAATTGTGGTACCTCCAGCTTTGGTTTTCTTTTTCCACATTACTTTGGCTATTTGGGGTCTTTCCTGGTTGCATACAAATTTTAGGATTGTTTGTTCTTGTGCCACAACTGTGCTCCATCTTTTTCTTTGGTGTATGGCTGGGTTTCAAAACCCAGTCTTAAAGGACCTGGCACTTGCGTGGATCCACTCCCCTCCTCCACATTAGAGCCTCTCCATGATGCTTGATGAAAGGCCTTTGGCTGGCACCTGCAGGGTCTTTTTTCCTTAGGGAGGCAAAAAACCCTCTTCCCAAAATACTCCAGGAAGGGGACCATGTTCTCCTAGTGTACACCTGGATATCTCTACACCATGCTATATGCTCTGGGGCCAGCTCCCTTCTCTGAAGGAGTGCACAGCACAGCTATGCTCTGGAGAATGTTGCTCACTTCCAAAACCTTCGAGTTTGAGCTCCAAGCACAATTTGGAAAAAAAAAAAAACAAAAAACCTGGGATGCTCAGCACTTTTTGCTCCCCATTCCATGGTCCAGAGAGGTTTCCTTCTTGTGCTAACTTGATACTGCACTTTTTAGCCCCTCTCTCTTTCTGTCCCTTTTGTCTCTCCTTACAGAGTGTTCCCTCCTTCTGTGACACCGCAGGTTTTCTCTCCCCCAATTCCCATCTATGCACTTCACACGTGCCATGCCATCTCCCTCAACTATGGAGATAAGCCAGACTGCAAATGTATTTACTGGGTGGTCCAAGTGATCAGACCTCAACAGAACTGTGTTTGAGGGATGAGGAAAACCCAGGGTCTCCCTACTTCTCCACCAGCTTAACTCCTTCCCCCCTTTATGTGATCTCTTAAATTTGTGGGCTGTGAAATTAAAGTTTTCAACTAAGTATATGCTCCCTTTATCCTTTCTCAGCAAATGTAAAGGATGGTCTCAATTATACCTATGTTTTGTTCTATCAAAGCCCATCTGTTCAAGAATACCTCTTGTAGAGCTATTTACTTTGGTGGCTATCCTTTATGATTTCCAATGCTAAGAATTAGTTTTTAACTTCACATGTTCCGATGCTTTAATATGTTGTTTTAGAAAAAAGAAATACTTGAGATCATTATGATTAAAACCATGAAAGAGAAGTTGCTTTTGCTGAGGAGTAAGAGTAAGGAGTAATCTTTGGAAGTAGGGGTGAGAAGAGAGAGCCTGTCCCCGTGGCATTCAGGTCACATTATTCCTGTTAGGGTAGTGCTGGTTGCATTCTGCTGGCTTCTACTGACCTCCTTGCATGTCCCAACACCTGTGAACAAGGTTCCAAGGCAGTTGGGTAGGAGAGGACCAAGACTGTTTAAGCACAGAATCCAAGTGTCTGTCCCAAGGAGAGGGGCATCTGGCAATGTGAACTGGGCTTGGGCAAGGAAAAGAAGAGTGCTGAAAGGGATTGAAGAGCCTGGAATGGGTGGGACACTTGGAAGCCCTGAAATGGAGAAATTAAAATCTCTGCCCGTCCTCACCTGGAGATCCTAAGCTCAGCATGTATTAGAAGTGTCTTTAGTGTCTGATTTCATGTGCAAGTCAGTTCCTATCATGTACTTACTGTTGCCAAGTGACATGTGGATTTAACTAGGGTAGGAAGCCTTTCTGAACAAATGAACAGAAACAACCAACTTTAGTTCTCCATGTTGAAGATTACTGTCCACATAGGAGTTCCTGTGGAGGATGTCCCAGTGTTTCAGTGGAAAGCAGAGGACTGCATATCCAATGGTGAATTCCTCCGTATGTGTGTGCTTGAGGCACAAGAAGGGGCATATTGATTCCAAGACCTCAAAGGCATAGTCTCAACACTCAGTAATGAGTTAATAGTGATCTTGCCTGAGAAGGAAGCTCAGACAAGAAGGAAGATGAGCAGGAGTCAAGAATGCTTCTTTCTTAGGAAAAAAATATATTCTCTGTTGATATGTTCTCTCCCTCCTGAAATGCTTTTTTAGGACCTACTAATCTTCAATTCTCAGGTATCCTACCTAACAACATTTGCTTTCAATCGTTCATGGTGTTTTCTGAGCCCTCTTCCATCTCCAGATAGATTCCATCTCACTATGAACCATTGACATCAAACTTTGGAAAGTATCTCCATTTGAGGGTGAATCAGTGGAAGGGCTTCAGGATATATCTACGAATAAGGATTAAAGAAACTGCACAGATAAGTTGTTTATTAATGTGCAGGAATTGCTGGAGAATCCTAAAAAAATAAGATTGATAATGGAAAACCTGAGCTCCTTGACTTTATAATGCATTCCAACGTTAGCAAAGTGAGTCAGTGTGGGTGTAGCCTCAAAATAGTAATTATTTGGAATGAATTGGGAGAATGTAGAAACTGACTATGAAAATCAAGGTTGCATTTAATCCACATGATGGGATGGGTTTTATTCCACAATTTCTTTTTAAAAATGGAATCAACTTGGGGCGCCTGGGTGGCTCAGTCGGTTAAGCGTCCGACTTCGGCTCAGGTCACGATCTCACGGTCCGTGAGTTCGAGCCCCGTGTCGGGCTCTGGGCTGATGGCTCGGAGCCTGGAGCCTGCTTCAGATTCTGTGTCTCCCTCTGTCTCTGCCCCTCCCCCGTTCATGCTCTGTCTCTCTCTGTCTCAAAAATAAATAAATGTTTAAAAAAAATTAAAAAAAAAATGGAATCAACTTAAATGTCTTAGAGTAGGTGTTTTTAAAAAATAGCTCACAACACCTACATTCCAAAGAGACATTCGTGGATTTGTAAAGGATCTTCTAGTTGTTGCCTCTGAGCATGATGACTTCTCTGAAGATGTGTGCATGCTTCTATGCTTTGGGCAAGCTGGTTTTGAAGTACGGTGCATTCATGTTTTGATAGATTCTGGCAAGATCGCCCCTGCTTAGAGTTGCAGTGATGTTGTTAACAACCACAATGTGGGCTTTTTACTCAACTGTAAACAGGACTCAATATTACATTCTTTATTTTTATGTATATAAGGAAAAATATGGGTCTTATTTATATCTCACTGATTACTAAATAAATGTTGCTAATACAGTTGTGTTTCATAGACTTGTCCCTGTCAATTAGTTTTCCTCCTTGGCTCATTTTTCATGTAATTTTACATATTTCATATTCTGTAGTTTTATCACGCACACAGTCATTTACACAAATGTGCACTTTGATCTATTTTAGTTATAATTTTTGTACATTGAAATATAAATCTTCATGTTATCACCTTTATCTTCCCCTGTTCTGTTATTATAAAAATATCCTGTTGATTTTAGTCTGAGTATTATATCATGTAATATACTTACACGTTATATTTTCTTGATGAACTCATCTCTGTGTCGACACATAATAGTCTTGTTTCTTGTTACAGCTTTTGAGTTAAAGTCCGTTTTATCTGATAAAAGTATAGCTACCTCTGCTCTCTCAGGATTTCCATTGACATGGACTAGGTTTTTTTGTTTCACCACTTTGAGTCTGTGTGTGTCTTTAAAACTGAAGTGAATCTTTTGTAGGTAGCATATATTTGGATATTTTTTTTAATGTTTATTTTGAAAGAGTGTGTGTGAGCACGAGTGGAGGAGGGGCAGAGAGAGAGGGAGAAAGAATCCCAACAGGCTCCATGCTGTCAGCACATAGCCCAGTGTGGGGCTCCATCCGATGAACTCGTGACCTGAGCCCAAACCAAGAGTCAGATGGTTAACCGACTGGGCCACCCAGGCGCCCCTGGGAATTGTTTTTAATCCAGTCAGCCAGTATATGCCTTTTTATTGTAGAATTTAATCCACTCACATTTTAAATAATTATTATAGGCAAGGTTTACTAATGGCATCTTATTAGATCTTTTCTGGATGTTCTGCAGTTCTCTTGTTCCTTTCTTCCTGTCTTTGTGTACTGATGATTTTCTGTAGTGGTATGCTTTGATTCCTGCCTTTTTATCTTGTGTATTTTTTGTTGCTGTGTGGTTACTGTAAGACTTACATAAAACATCATTTAGATGTAAGTCTAATGTAAGCTGATAAGCAACTTAACTTTCCCCCTCATGTTTTGTTTTCAGTATCATAATTTCTTTTCATACTGTGTGTCCTTAAAAAGTTATGGTAGCTATTGTTCTTTTCAGAACTTTTGTCCTTTAACCTGTATGCTGGAAGTAAGTGGTTAGTGAGTCACTGTATAACTATATACAGTTAGAATTCTGTATTGTAGAATTCTGCATTTAACTACATTATGTGCTTTTTTGTTTGTTTGTTTTTTGTTACTAGTGTCCTTTCCGTTTCAACTCCCTTCAGCGTTTCTTGTAGGGAAGTTCATGGGTGATGCATTGCCTCAGCCTTTGTATATCTGGGAATGTATTTCTCTCTCCTTCATTTAGAAAGAGACCTTTGCTAGGTGAAATGTTAAGTTTGGCAGGTTTTTTTCCCCTCAGTACTTTGAGTATGTTAGTCTACCCCCTCCTGGCCTACAAGGTTTCTGCTGAGAAACTCTCACAGTCTTGCTGGGGCAGGGGCTGCCCCATTCAGTGATAAACTTCTTTTCTTGCTGCCTTCAATATTCTCTCTTTGCCTTTGATGTTTGGTGTCTTACTATAGGAGGTCTTAGAAATTTCTTTGGTTAGATTTTTTTTTTTTTTTAGGGATTTATGAGCTTCATGAACTTGGATGTCCTATTCTCTCCCTAGATTTGGGAAATTCCCTGTCATTATTTTCTTAAATAAGCTGTGTGCCACTTTCTCCAACTCTTACTGTGGGACTTACATAAAGTCTTAATGGTACCCTGTGTTAATATATTCTTTCTTTACTCTTTTTCATTATTTTTGTTTGGTCTCCTCTCATTGGGTGATTTCAAATGACCTCTCTTCTACTCACAGATTCTTTCTTTTGCTTGATCCAGTCTGTTATTGCTGTACCCCATTGCATTTTTTATTTCGTTTATTGTATTCTTCTCCAACGTTTGTTTAGTTCTTAAAATTTCTATCACTTTAACTTCCCAATTTGTTCATGTACTGATTTCTTCATTCTGTTGAATTGTTCTGTGTTTTCTTGTAGCTCACTGAGATTCCTTCAAACAACTGTTTTGAAGTCTTCTAATGGGAAACTTGCACATTTCCATTTCTTTGTGGTCGTTGCTGGAAAACTATTGTGTGACTTTGGGAGTTTCATGTTTCCTTCATTTTTTATGTTCTTTTACATCTTGTATTTGCTATATCCTTTCTCATACCTTTTCTGTGTATAGTCCTGCACTGCATTTCTTGTCCCCTGTTGTGGGAGCGGGGGTGGAATTCCTGATTGTATGCCTTCTCTTGATACTGCAAAGCCAGGTCACGTGCAGAGAGCCTCCCTGTTGCTTTCCCTAGTATGGTGCTAAATGCTTCAGTTTTGTGTTGACTCACAACCCCATAGAGTTGGGCCAGTCTTGTCTGCTTGCTCACTAGTTATCTGCAAGTGCTCACTCTGGACACAGTTGGGAGTGCACTCAAGGTAGTTAACCACATGGTTTGGAGATGTGTACTGAGCACTGGGGGGAACTCTTATATCAACTGGGGTGTCTGGAAGTGCAGTGTCCCTGGCAGCTTATGGACATGCTTCCTGATAGAGTCTGCTATGGAGTTAGTAGGGTCCACACCTCTTTGAGGTCCTCAAAGAGCTCCATGTGCTCTTCTCACAGGTGCTTCCCAGTTCCAAGTCATGCAGCACATCCCAGTACTGTAGAAAGAACTGGGTTTCTTTGGCAGCATCTCACACAGCTAGAGGAGCATGTCACTCACATGCTGTCCCTTTCCCCCATGGGAGAAGACATGGGCCAGGATGGCCTCTTGGCCACTGAGATGTGCCATCCTGGGGAAGGGTGATAAAGTGAAACTTTGGGCTCTTGTCCTTTTTAATGCATCCAGTCTTCTTTTTTCTTGCTCCAACAGTGTGCTGGAGCTTCTCCGCTGGACTCCTGGATTTCCACACAGGCCCTCTCATCCATGGATGATTGTCCAATCAGTGTTCTTTAAGAGGAAGACAATAGAAAATTATTCTGGCATATTGATGAAGTCTGTTTTCTCAGAAAGTAATATTTCATAACAACAAAATAGGGAGTCCTTTCACAGGAAGGAAAAAAAAGAGGGTACGAAGGAAAGTTTTTATGTTTGCATAAAATTATAAGTAAAAGATCCGGGAAACCCTGAAAAGTCTGCTACAGAAATGACTTTATGCAATCTATTAATCATGTTGAATGTTGAGCTTACTGTTTATTAAGTCCGAAGATCCCATAAGGAGAGGAAGGATGGTGCTGAATATTAGAGTAGCTGGTTAAACAAGGTTTTACTGATTTATATAAAAAATCTAATATCCTTACACCCTGTATATTGAAATGATGCAAAATTCTTTTAACAAGGACTGAAGAATATTTCCAGTATATTATACTGAAAAACACTGAGTGCTTTTCATATGTGACACAATAAATTTTGAGGGAGAAGTAATTTAGAACAATTTTTAAAATGTAATGATTATGGCATCCGCCCCCTTTGTTCCCTGTGCTGCTGTCGTTTAAGGCCTGCTTCTATTCTGTCCTCTTCTATCTCTGTTCTTCCCATTTTTATCTATTTTCATTTATCCCACTGATTCTTGTCCTATCACTTATTTTTTTTTTTAATGTTTATTTATTTTTGAGAGAGAGAGGCAGAGCACGAGCGGGGGAGGGAAAGAGAGAGAGAGGGAGACAGAATCCAAAGCAGGCTCCAGGTTGCTCTGCTGTCAGCACAGAGCCCTATGTGGGGCTTGAACCCACGAACTGCGAGATCATGACCTGAGCCAAAGTCGAACACCCAACTGACTGAGCCACCCAGGTGCCCCGTCCAGATCACTTATTTTGCTCCCATTATATCTTCATGAGTTCTTTGGACCCACTCTCCCCCACCACCCAACCTTTATTTTACTCTCTTTCATTCCACCTCACTTTCTCGGACTTATTCTGTCTCACTTGTTTTCCCTCTTTGATGTGTTCTTTCTTCCTTACCCTCACATGCAACTCAGACATCTGTATGGATGTACAAAAGATGCCCACCTCCTGGGAAGAGTTCACTTTCCAGTGAAACACTGGGAATGTAAACACACCATGCCAGGCACAGCAAGGAAGGTGAAGTTTGGGACAGGACATGGGATGTCAGGAGAGGTTGGTGACCTCCCCTGTCCAAGGCTCAGGGACCTCCTTTAAGGTAGATTGAAGGGAGGGCCTAAGAAGCAGCCAGGTGCAGCTCCCAAGACAAAAAAGGGGTCTCAGGAGAGGACTGGGGTCTGCAGAGTCCTAAGGCTGGGGTTGGCATGGCATCTGGGGGGGTGGTCTTAAGTGCCAACAGGTTTGATGGGTGGTGAAGGGCAATAATCCACTTCCCTTAATTGTGACCTGACATTGATTGGGACAGGAGTCCATGAAAAGCCGAAAGGGAGAAAGTGCAGACAGGGATAGCTTCCCATTACTTCTTAACCAGAAACAAAATGAGTCATACCTGGCAGCAGAATGACCAGTATCCTGAGCCTCTCAGGATGATGTGGGCCTCTCTGATGATGGTATGGACAGGTACATGGACTGTGATGTCTGCAGGGACCCCTGCAACCAGATGTGGAGAATGGGTGGGGAGGGGGCCAATGGATGCAGGATTTGAATCTCAAAGACAGGAGCACCTGGTCCACCCCACTAGAGTGGCACCTTTGCTCCAGGAAATCTGCTTCTAGCTCAGCAGGAAACTGTAGGGCAGGTGGTGTTGGTCAAAGAGGGGTGTGGCCAAAGATCCCTCCTCACCCAGGAAGGGGCAGGGACTGTGAGACTTGGGTCAGGTGGTGCTGGGCCTTGAGAAACAAATGGCCAGTGTCAGCAGTCCATGCCTCATCTGCCTACTCTCAGGTGTTTCTGTACCTCCCCCTCCTTCCTCTAACACATATCACCTCACATTTTCACCTTGGGATTGTTGCCTCAAAGTGGCCTTGGTCCTTTCCCCTGGTGGAGAGTTTAGGATCTTTGATCCCCCAACCTATAGGGTTTCCACCACATATCTTCATAACTCAGTCCCCAACGTTGTGTCCAAACTCAACAACCCTCCCACTCACAGCCCCCATCACAAGTGCACACAGGTTTCCCCAGCTCTGAACCATTCAGATCCTGGATTCTAGTTTTTCACTGGTCAGGATCTGGCCTTCCCTTCACCACGGCCCCAGTAAGTTTCACAGGCCTGATGCCACAATGCTAGTTTCACTTTGTTTAAGCAAAATATTGAGGCTTCTGCTTCCAGGTAAGATGTGTGAGTAGAGAGACAAGACACACAAGAGGAAATTAAAGATTCAAATAAAAGTTATATTGTTCCAAATTCAGAGATTTGTGGAATCAGAGAGGGCTGTAAGAACCACAATTCCAGGAAGAGAAGAGGTCATCTGATTTCCACACCTGGGTGAATTTGCTTAGTACACACAGTGAAACTCATAGGCAGAAGTTCACTACCAGGGAATAACAAGTAGATCGATATGTAAACATGTGGGCTGGCATAGGCTGATTGAAATATAGAGAATGTCCAATACTGGGATCCTTTTCCCCATAGATTTTTTTAGGTGGGGATACAGAGGAAAAGAAAGCATTTTAGCTTCTCAGTTTATAGTACTTAAGAAGGTGTCTTCAATAAGTTTAGAAGAATGACCTGAAAGGCATGGATGTTTGAATAAAATCAAAGCTGTAACCTAACCTGAGTGTAATTTTTAAGTTTATTTTGAGAGAGAGCGAGAGAGCGAGCATGAATAGGGGAGAAGCAGAAGAGAGAGAATCCAACCAGGCTCCATGCAGTCAGCACAAAGCCCGATGTGGGGCTCAAACTCACAAACTGAGATTATGACCTGAGCTGAAACTGAGTTGCATGCTTAACCAGCTGAGCCACCCAGGTGCCCCGTTTTTATGACTATTTCAATTCCTGAATGGAAGAAATGATGTAAGAGAATAATAAACTTCTCTAGGTAAAACAATATCAACTTCAGCCCCTTCCTTTTTTTAAGACCACGTGTGAAATCAATCAAACAAAAAAACAACAATAAAACAGACCACTGCAAAACAGGAAAGGTAATGGAAAAATAAAAAAGACAAAATGAACAAATCCACATGTATCTTGAGACTGGAGTTAGGAAAATTTTATATTACACTAAAAAGTTATAAGAAACATGAAAAGATGGAGAAATTTAGTAGTTCTAGGTTTCAGAAAGTATGTCCTCCGACATTAATTAATTAATCTATTAATGTAATAGACTTTACACACTGAAAACAAAAGTCAGTTTGAGGACACAACAATAATATATAATATTCAAACCAAAGAACAGAAATAAAGTGGGGGATTGAAAAGGGCATTGCATACTCCCTCATAATAATATTATAAATTAATAATAAGCATCTACATTCTCTTTTTTGCTACTTGTGAAGCAGGATTACTAATCATGTTCAAATGAGTACTAATGACTTGACCTTCTCTTGTTATCCTGGCAGTAGAGAAGCACCAACTACTTTCCTAGCTTTCTGCATTTGCATGTGGGAGGTGCTGGGACTCCCAGGTCTCATTCTTGGTGATTTGTGGATTTGTAGCTGTTGTGATGGGGATATAGGCAAGGTCAGATTGTCTTTGCTTCTGCTTTCAGCTTTGCCAGTGTTTTTTGTCACTACAGAAATTATTTTAAGTATATGAGGCACTCAGGAAATAGGATACTCCAAAATGTCTTCAGCCACTTTCATGTCCTAGTTCTCACTGAACAAAACCCTTTGGCAACAAAATTCTCGTCTTCCCAGTAATGATTCTTTCCCACTTATTTCTTGGTTTAGCAGATACACATCACTGAGTTTTCTTCTGCATGCAAGTGTGTTGCTCAATTGAATGAGTACAAAGTGATTACTGATCTAGAATCTTTCCTGTGCAATTTATTTAAAGGATAAATGAAAAGTATGTCTACATTGATTACTGACAGATTTATCTCTGACATGTGACTTCTCCACTTTAACAGAACTGTGGATGAAAATTCTTCCACACTCACTTCATTTACATTCTCCCAGGTCATATATTGACTCCCAGGTCAGTCCATTATCTAAAGGCTTTGTCATACAGATGGCCCATATATGGATTCTCTCCCATTTTGGATTAACTTCAGTTGAGTGAAGTCATAAGGATGAATAAAGGCTCTCCCATACGTACATACGTAAGAAATACAAACGTACTTTCCCATACGTAAGAAATACAAAGTGTTTCTTAGGTGTTTGGGCCCTCAAGTGTGTTTATAGTTTGAAGCTATAGGTGGTGAATCTTCTGCATTTATTACCTTTACATGTGTTTTCTCGTGTTGTCTAAGGTTAAAATATTTACTGAAGGCTTTCCCACATACATAACATTTATATGGTTTTTCTCCAGTGTGGATTCTCTTATGCAGTCTAAAGTTATAGCTTCTATTGAAGGCTTTCCCACATACATTGCATTCGTATGGTTTCTCACCAGTGTGAGTTCTCTCATGTCGTCTAAGGACAGAAGAGTGATTGAAAGCTTTCCCACATAGGTGACATTCATATGGTTTCTCCCCAGTGTGAGTTCTCTCGTGTCGTTTAAGGACAGATGAGTCAGTGAAGGCTTTCCAACACAGATGACATTCATACGGTTTCTCTCCAGTGTGGGTTCTCTCATGTCGTCTAAGGACAGAAGATTCAGTGAAGGCTTTCCCACATAGATGACATTCATATGGTTTCTCTCCAGTGTGAGTTCTCTCGTGTTTTCTAAGGTGAGAACAATGAGTGAATGCCTTCCCACAGAGGTGACATTCATACGGTTTCTGTCCATTATGAGTTCGCTCATGTTGTCTAAGGTAAGATGTTTTACTGAATGTCTTCCCACATAGATGGCATCCATATGGTTTCTCTCCAAAGTGAGTTCTTTCATGTTTGTTAAGGTCAGAACAATGAGTGAAGGCTTTCCCACATAGATGACATTCATGAGGTTTTTTTCTAGTGTGAATCATCTCATGTCGCCTAAGGTTATAACTCTTACTGAAGGCTTTCCCACACAGATGACATCCATATGATTTCTCTCCAGTGTGAATTCTCTCATGTTTTCTAAGGTCAGAACAATGAGTGAAGGCCTTCCCACATAGATGACATCCATGTGGTTTCACTCCAGTGTGAATCAGCTCATGTCGCCTAAGGTTAGAACTTTTTCCAAAAGCTTTCCCACATTCATGACATTCAAATGTTTTCTCTCCATTTTGAGTATTATTGGGTTGTCTAAGGGCAGAGCTTTGAATAAAGGCATTCCCACCTTGATGACATTCATATGGTTTACTTGTAGCATGACTCTGCTTATGTATATTAATGGATGTCAAATAACTGCTGTCTTGTCCACATTTGTTGCCGATATAGGGATTCTTTCCCATTTTAGGTACCACATATTGAGTCCACGTTAATATTTCAGTAAAATTTTCTCCCAAATCATTGCATTCAAAAGGATCTTCTTGGGTGTGAGATTTCTGGTTTTTGAAAGGAAATGAGAGACTGTTAAAAATTTGCTCATATTTATTCCTTCCTTCATTTCATCTACATATAAATTCTACAGTCATCGGGGCGCCTGGGTGGCGCAGTCGGTTAAGCGTCCGACTTCAGCCAGGTCACGATCTCGCGGTCCGTGAGTTCGAGCCCCGCGTCAGGCTCTGGGCTGATGGCTCGGAGCCTGGAGCCTGTTTCCGATGCTGTGTCTCCCTCTCTCTCTGCCCCTCCCCCGTTCATGCTCTGTTTCTCTCTGTCCCAAAAATAAATAAAAAACGTTGAAAAAAAAAATTAAAAAAAAAAAATTCTACAGTCATCATTCAGTGACAGTCCTACAAAACTTTTTATATTAGTTACGTAAACACAGGGTATTACATTCCAGCAAGCAAAGAGATTTCTGTAGCATCCCAAATGCACAGATATCATTATTACATTTCAACTGTTAGGTATAAGTCATGATTATGCAGCTATCTCTTTACAAGAACTCAAGTATGGTTTTGACCTCAGATTAATTTCTTCTCTAAAAATCAAACTAACCAAAACTTCCTACTATGAAAGCCCTTGATTCCAATCTCAATTATGGTTGCGTAACTATGCCCAATTCCTTACTTATTCAATACCCACATCATTTGTAAGAACAGGTCCACACCCTTAAAGCTTACCATTGCACTGATTAATGTCGTGTCCTTCTTGTAGATATGTTGCATGAATATTATTTCTTGTTTTTTAAGATCATCTTCCCTACCTGAAAAGATTAGGGAAAAAATTGCCACAGTGACACTGAGGGAATTAAAATGCTGAAGACACTAAATGCTCATTTGAATAGGTTTCAAATACTAACAGATGGGAAGGAAAAATGCCAAATTAAGGAATACTTTAAGAAGAAACAATTATAGGACATCAGCAGTTGACATTTTTAGGACTGAAATATGAAAAACATAAGATGGAGATGACAATTTGGGAATGAAAAGAGAGGGAAAATCTTCATAGAAGAAAGAAACAGGGACATTTTTGTGAATTGTCACCAGTAAGTACATAACTATTACCCTCCCCAAGCCAAAGACAGAATAGAAATTGACACCTATAAAGTATAATGTCAACATCTGAAGAAATTTCCCCCATCACATTGTCTATCTTAAAAAAAAAGTCACTAAATTTCATTTCATGATTCTTAGGGCCTACTCACTCACTGACTAGGCTCTTCATGTAGCTCACCTAGACTCTGGCATTGCAGCAAACCTATCCCTTCTGTGGAAAGTTGCTCTCCTTGTTCCAAGTGGAAAATTGTATCTAATTTGTAGAGTTGTTTGCCTGTTAGTAGAAAAAAGATAATCAAATTTTGGGTTTTGTGCCCCAAACAGTACATGATCATCAATATAGGGCCAACTAATGAGAAAGAATAAGGTAACCTCTAAAAGTCATCCCAGGGAAGAATATGTTGGAAACAACATGGATAGTCCTTCACCAACAAAAGCTTAACTCTTCACTTGTTCCCAAAGACATTAAGGACCTATTACTGACACCCAACCAAGTTCAAAGACAAACCGTGCAATCTTCGATATTTTAATACAGTAAGAAGATACAAGGTCTCACAGTGTTTAAATACTGTATCCCAAACAAATCCAATAAATAATAACTCCACCAGAAACATCTAGATTCTATGTGGAAAAGTTTTTTGTTTTGTTTTTTTTAATACTGTGGTCTGATCTAACCACAGCCCCCACAGGAAAAAAATTCTTTTTTAAAAAGTCAATACATTTAGTTATCAATTCAAAAATAATGAGTTGTCACCACTGTTTGAGTGTTCTGGAGATTAAGTAGCAAGAATGGCATGAAATTGTGTGAGGAAGATTACATTCTAGTGGGATGACAAATTAAAGTAAAACGTGAAGAAGTCTGCTGTAAGGTAGTTGTGAGAGTTAAGAAAGAATCAAGACAGAATCTGCGGTGAGAAATGAGGAAGCTCTTCTACATGGCTGTTGAATGAATGAGTGAATGGATAAACGTATACATACATGATAAATAGTAAGAGACTCACCAACTGAGACTAGGTGACTTATGTTCTCCAGCATCACATCTCTGAAGAGTTTTCTCTGGGACCAGTCCAGTAGGGTCCACTCTTCCTGGGTAAAGTCTACAGCTACATCCTCAAAGGTCACTGATTCCTAGAGCATTATGGACATTGTTTTCAGACAGGGCCATTTCTGCCAATATTCAGGGGAGCGTGGTATATGTAACAGCACTAAGGAAGTGGGGGCTGCAGGTACAGAACATTCAAATAGGATGCTGGGTTCGGTCATTGTTTGCAGTGCACACCTGGACATCTGACTTTCAGATAGACCCACAGGCATTCTAAATACATAACTTTCATTATAAAGAGATATCAAGTGAGATGTGGCATAATATAACCCAAGAATTTCCCAATAAACTTGTAATTAAGAGTTCCAGTTCGGGTTACCCAGGTGGCTCAGTTGGTTAAGTGTCTGACTCTTGGTTATGACCTCACAGTTTTGTGAGTTTGAGCCCTGCATCAGGCTCTGCACTGACAGTGTGAAGCCTGCTTGGGATTCTCAATCTCTCCCTCTCTCTCTTCCCCTACCCCACTTGTGCTGCCTCTCTTTGTCTCAAAATAAACTTTATTTAAAAAAAAAAAAAGGCCTTCACATCATGAGTATAAAAGTTTCTCCTGAAAACTTAAAACTCTATTCTCCACCAATTTCAAAAAATCTATGGACTCATTATATACAACCTGCCACTTTTTAAGTACTATGATTAGATTATTCCTCTTTATGACTTCAGTTTCATCATCCATGAAATGGTGTAGTGACCTTTTATGAGTTCTTAAAGATCCAATGACATAGCAAACTGCTAATGAACAAACATTTTTTTTAATTTTTAGAAATTTTCAAATGCTTTTGAGAGAGAATGTGCACGCACACATACACACGTGAGTGAGTGTGGGAGAGGCAGAGAGAAAGAGAGAAAGAGAGAGAGAGAGTCCAAAGTGTGGAGCCTAAACTCAGGTCTGTAAGATCATGACCTGAGCTGAAATCAAGAGTTGGATGCTCAAGTGACTGAGCCACCCAGGCACCCCTAGCAAATATTTCACTAAACACAACTTCTAGTTTTATTATTCAATAAATGTCAGATGATATTGAAGCACTGTCCATAATTCTGCAAAACTGAAAAGAATTCATACAAGATGGGAGATCAGCAGGCACATCCTTTAATTTTCACATAACTACACTGTTCATTACAAAGTATAAAGCTAAATGGTTCATGAGCACAAGCCAGAGGCTCTGAGACTTGTGTAATGAAAGACAGTACTTCCTGACCCTTCCTATGGCCTGAGTCCTCCCAATAGCAGTTAACACTGTTTTTTGTTTCTTTATCTTGTGTCTCAGTTCAAGCATACTTAAAGCCAGTATTGTTCTTGTCTCTTCAATTCATCAAAAGTTTCCAGAGGTCCTTAAATTTTATTTTACCTCCTATGCTCCTTTTACTGAATTACAGCCAAAACTAAGAAAACCATACTCCCTATACATGGTTTCCAGTTACCAAATCTGAACAGAGGGAAATTACAAAGAGGGGAAAAGTAGGATTTGGTACATGAGAAGTAATGAGAATTTGTTTTCTCTTTCATAAATTTCAAAAAGTACAAATACATTCTATCAAAACTTTTACAAGGTTTAAATTTGGGGGAAAAAAAGAGAATGACTCCTCATTGGCTTCTCCAGCATGACCACCATTCATCTTCCCTCAATATTAATTAGCATTCCCTGCAGCAAGCACATAGAATACTGCATTGGAGCTCACCTGTGGGAACAGCTGCCTAACTATTGGGCTGTAAGGTTTTGCTCTTAATCATCTTTATCACCTGCACTGACCTCAATCCTAAGCCCAATATAGTCAATAAAATGGTTAATGAGTGTATTTTTGGTGCTAAGAAGGCCATGGGATGGATATGGAAAAAGAAAATCTCTGATACCTGTCTTGTAAATACCCGGCATTAAACTAGGCTGATATCTTAGTGTAACATTGGGAAGGAAATTACCACGTGAAGAATCCTTAATTTCATAGTTCTTGGAAAACTTCAAGTTCAGATTCTTGAAAAACTTGAGTGTACTTAGAAGATGAATGCTTGTAGGAGATACATAGCCATATGATGGCAATGGACATTTCAGTAGAAAGAATAATTCCCTACTCACTTGTGATTCCATTCTGTCTTCTGGGTTTTCACTCATATAGTCCAAGCAACAGGAGGCAAAGCTGAGGAAGGAGAAAGGAGCCATGAAACTCCAGTTGCCCACATTTTCCATACCCACTTGTTATGAAGCCCCAGCTCTTTACCTGGAAGTGATCCCCAGCACAAACGACAGAAACATGCACTGTACTCCAAAGGAAATAGGGTTGCAGGGGGATGGCTCTCCACTACCAGGGAAAAAGTTAAGGCTCTGACTCTTGTTGCTTGGAGAAAAGATAGAAGTACCCTCAATTTAGGAAGAATGTGAAAACCCACTTCCTCCTGATTCCAAAATAGGATTTCTGGCATATGTGGAACCCTTGTGAAAGTTCTCAGGCTGAGGGATTAGTTTGTGTACTGACTAGCACTTTCCTTGGCTCCTCGGCCCTCTGGTATCTCACTCCATTCCTATTCTTCCCTGCCCTCAGCCCTCTGAATTCCGTATCAATCATGGTCTCCAGCAATATCACTCCCTCAACATTTACCTTTCGATTTGTTCTGAATGGGTTTGGTTATGAAACAACAGAATTAAGAATGCATTTTATGGTAAGGTTAATCAATTCAGTGACTTACTTCATTTTGAGGATCAATGACACCCATGCCACATATTTAACCCTTAAAATCCCCTGCATCAGAAAACTGTAGGAACATGTGGGTTATGGCATTATTGTCATGTCTAACAATCTTTACAGGGTAGTACTCCCAGAAATTATACAATGAAAGGATTTTAGGAGGGCATTTATTTACTCCAACTAAAGTTTTAGAAAATTGTTCACTGAAATCTGCATTAGATACAACTTTCCTGAATTTCATGGTTTGATTTTCTGTATGTGTATATCTCTGAAAACATTTATAAATTGTAAATCCTCCCCCTAAAACATCCATAGTAAGTAAGTATATTTCATGGAGAAATGATAATAATAAGTCGTAAACATAAGTGGGTTCAACTCACCCATTTGTATCTCACATCAAGACAAGATAACAATAGTTTTAGTTTATGTGACTCTGTGCTTGGAAATTTACATACAGTTGTTCATTTATTTCTCAAAATAATTCTGCTAGTTATGGTTTTGTTGTTAATTTATTAATCAATGCCATCATCATCAGTCCAGGAAACTTTAGTCATAGGACACAACTACACACACACCAGCATATACATACACACAAGCATATGTTAGGAAGTGGTATAGGTAGAATTTGAATTTTCCCTTCCTGCCTCCTAATATCAGATTCTTTAAGGGTTACACATCCCACCCAGATTTTCCCTGGAATTGTGCCCCTAACCCTAACGATCAGAGGTGCCGCCCTGTTTTTATCTTGCTCTCCTTGGTTTTTTCATAAAATTTGTCCCTGTGTCCATGTTTTCTACCACTGAGCCATGGCACTGCCAGCATTCCAGCCCTCCTCACTGTCACTGCCCAGTCGAATTCTGTCACCCATTTCGATAGATATTTGCCCAGACTAACGTCACTTATGTCTTTTTCATTATATCTGCTAATCAAGGCCCCAACAGAAAGGGACTCCAAATACCTGCCTGTTCCATGACCGTATCTGGCAGCACAGCATTAGAATACTGACCCTTCTCTATATGTGAAGTCACAACCCACAGTCGCATCCACATATATCTGGCAACACTGTTCTTGTCTGGTAACTAGTAAGTCTTCCGTGTTCCTTAAATATTTCAAATCTTCTCCATGCCTTTGAACTCTTTGATGTCTCCCCCCACTTTCCAAAAATGAGATTTTCCCACTAAATAAATGAATTCTATAAGTTGATGTTTTATTTCCAGAGTGAACAATCACTGTAAGAATTGATTTTACTGTAAGTAGGATATTTTTCTATTTTATTTTATTGTGGTAAAATTCATACGACATTTACCATTCTAATCATGTTTTTTTTAAGATTTTTAAACAATCTTTACACCCAACGTGGGGCTTGAACTTACAACCCTGAGATCAAGAGTCACACGTTCCACTGACTGAGCTCCGCTCCAGTCCAAGTGCCCCTCATTCTAATCATTTTCAAGTGTATGATCCAGTGGTGTTAAATACATTCATAATGTTGTGTAACATCACCACCATCTATCTCCACAACTCTCTCCATCTTCTAAACCTGAAACCTTGTTCCCATTAAACCACTCCCATTCCTCTTCCCCACCCTCACCCTCTGACAACCATGGAATTTCTACGATCTCTAAATAGTATATATTTTAAACTGATGGCAAAGGAATAGAAATTTTAAGATATTAAGACATTCCTAATAGAATATATTATTTTGGAGGAAAAATCATGTAATGTACTTTCCTTTCAGGTAGGATGCCATAAGAAATATTTTGTTGTAGGGGCGCCCGGGTGGCTCAGTCGGTTGAGTGCCCGACTCCAGCCCAGGTCATCATCCTGCACTTTGTGGGTTCAAGCCCCACATTGGGCTTTGTGCTGACAGCTGGGAGCCTGGAGCCTGCTTCAGATTCTGTGTCTCCCTCTTTCTCTGCCCCTCCCCTGCTTGTACTCTGTCTCCCCAAAATAAATAAACATTAAAAAAATTAAGAAAAGAAATACTTTGTGGTTTTCTAAACATTTTAATCTTCTGACAGCAAAAGATCTTTAGTATATTTTAGTAGAAAACCATTAGTGGACGAATGTTTTGATTTTCATGTCTCTTTGATATGTTCTGTCTTTTCAACCTATTTACTGCAACATCTGAGTCTTTGAGAAAAAAGTGATGATCTCCTTTTGTCATTAATAAATATATGTTTCAAGGGGCACCTGGGTGGCTCAGTCAGTTAAGCATCCAGCTTTCGCTCAGATCATGATCTCACAGTTTGTGAGTTCGAGCCCTGCGTCCAGCTCTGTGCTGACATCTCAGAGCCTGGAGCCTGCCTCAGATTCTTTGTCTCCCTCTCTCTCTGCCCCTCCCCCACTCATGCTGTCTCTCTTTCAAAATAACTAAACATTAAAAAATTTTTAAATAAATTACGTTTCAAGTCAAAGACTATACCAAACAATGAAATTACATGGATGAATAAAGCAGAGAGATCATCTGTTCTTGAGGGGTTGTCTAGTTTAGAACTAGAGATTTTTAAAGAAATAATGACAAGGATATTCTATATACATATACTAAAACATTTCATTTGCGGAAGTGGGGAAACACTCTTAAAATGCACATATCAATTATCTGATACCTTAAAATTTTACTTGGGAAAGCATTAGAAAGTTCAGCAGAGATACAAATAAGCTCACCCCTGTACCTGCACCCTCCCCACCCTCATGAGGGAGCAAGCGTAACACTGCAGACACACTGCAGTGCCCAGGGTGCCCAGGGAAGGAGAACATACTGGCAGGCAGCTGAGCAATGGGATAAACCTGAGATGGTGGCAGGCAGGTGGACTTCAGGGCCCAAAGGTCATTGTAATTGGACTCGTCTTTCTTTCAATTTTTAAAGCTAATGGGAAGCCACTGGAGAATTGCAAGCAAGAAATGGGAACAGATATTTGTTTGCAAGTTAGTCTTTGCTGAAGAATGCAGTAAAGCAATTAGGAAGAGTTTGATTAATTTTCATACTTAGGTATTTGTCTGGCATAGGGTGTTGACAGTGAAAGCATATGAGAACAAAAGAAAAGGAAGTATAAAAATAATACATTTTTAAGTTTGTCAGTTATTATCGATCGCTAATTATGAGTCAGACTTTGTGCTAATCATGAGTCAGGCTGTGTATGTACTTAAAAAAAATTTTTCCTCCTTGAATGCATTTAAAATACAATAAAGACATAAATATTAAGTTGCAACACTATGTTACCATATAACCTGAAGATATTTTCTTAGAGATGTAACCTTTGCATTTGGTTGGCCACAGTGTAAAGCAACCAAGAACTGCTGTACATTTTAACTTTAAGCCTCTGGAGAAGAGTTAAAGCCAAAACCTTCAGTGAGTTTAAAAACACTTATAAACCAAGAGAAGAAAAAAGGAAAGAAGACTTTTCCGTTTTCAGATGTTCACAAATAAACCACATATTTATAAAAGAAGAATAAAAAGAGTAAATAAAGAATGAAATGAAGAAAACAAATTTGACAGAAATTAATAAAAAGTCTGCACAGTGAAATCAAGCAATTACAAAGGACTTATGAAAAAAATAACATTGGCAAATAAAATAGACCATGTATTCATTTAAAAGCAGTAACTTAAATGTAAGAAAAACGGGAATTATATTGTTATTGTAAATATAGGAGAAATTGGTTAATTTCCAAGAAAATGTTATGAATATTCATTCACAAAGAAGAACAATGCCATCAGCCAATTTTAATACATAAACTATATATATCAGATTCCATCCATACAATGGATTTGTGATTTCTCCCAAAGCACTTCTACAACATTGTCAAGTGTAGTTTATTGCAATAATGAATGCTTCAATACTAGAAAACATATTACCTTCATTAAATAATTTTAAATGCCCCAATAATTAGATCACATCAATAGACCCTTAGAAAAACATATGACCTTTCAAAATAATTTCAAATCTTTAAAAATCATGTCAAATGGGGGGAATAACTCTTGCTAATCAAGAAAAGCTCAGCAAACACGTTCAGCAGCAGAGAAAGAAGCAGTCTCACTAAAGTGAAGGCTGAAAAGGAGGGCTGGTGAGGGCTGCAGCCATTCACCACCGCACAGGACGCTGGATTCAGGGCAAGTAAAAGAGAAAGAGAAGAGCCAAAGCACCGGAACAGGAGCTGTTCTTTGAAGACAGGATTTCAAATTCCAAAAACCAGAAGCCTTTTTAATGATCATACTTAATACAAATATTTTAAAAAGTAGACAAAGCTATTCTTAATATACTGAAATCAATACTGCTTAGTTAATATAATTTAAAAACTAAGCAAACACACACACACACACACACACACACACACACAAAGTCTACTTACAACAGCAAAATATTATGGCTTCCATTTGAAATAATTTTGTAGACCCACATAAAAATGTCTTTAAAACTTTTTGAGGACATAATATGACAGGAGTAAAGCTGCCAAACCAATTCTTAACCTAGAGGACATCATGACATAAAAACCTCAGTGACTACAGAAATTCGGTGCAATCGAAATGTAAAAGTTTTAAATTTTTAAAAATTTTTAACTTTAAATTTAAATTTTATGTATTCACATACAAACTGAGAATTATCTTAAAAGGCAATTTTGTGTCAATTTTGATTTTGGGTGGGGCTATAGCCAAAACAATTTGGAACAGAAAAAACATGAAAGTAGGTCAAATTCTATCTGAAAATACATTATCTGAAACTTTAATGTTTATTTTTGAGAGAAACACAGAACATAAACAGGGGAGGGGCAAAGAGAGAAAGACACACAGAATCTGAAGCAGGTTCCAGTCTCTGAGCTGTCAGCACAGAGTGGGGCTCAAACTCACCAGCTGCAAGATCGTGACCTGAACCAAAGTCAGACGCTTAACCAACTGAGCCATCCAGGCATTGCTACATTATCTGAAACTTTAACACAATTGAAATGAAGTACTTAAAATAAACAATATTCAATGCTATATTACAACTGAATGGGACATAACACTTTTAAATGTGCAATAGGTGATGCCTTCCACAGGAAAAATAAAAAGCATGAAGAAAGGATTTTGGTTCACCACAAAAACATAATACCAAAGTGCGTAAGTGCCTGTGTGTATATCGTTAAACCACAAAATAAAAAATAGTATGTAAATGCACATCAAAAATGAATTAGAGGGGTGCCTAGGTGGCTCAGTCGAAGCATCTAACTCCTGATTTCAGCTCAGGTCATGATTTCATCGTTTGTGAGAGTGAGCCCCACATCAGGCTGTGCTGACAGCATGGAACCTGCTTAGGACTCTCTCTCTCTCTCTCTCTCTCTCTCTCTCTCTCTCTCCTCTCTTTCTGCCCCTCCCCTGCTTGTGCTCTTTCTCTCTCTCAAAATAAAGAAAGAATTGGAAAAACAATTAATTATACATACGTCTACAAAAACGAAAAAAAAATTATACATATGCCTAGTGAAACGAAAATAAAAACAAAGGGTTGTCATTTCATCCAAATCTGTATGTATGTATGCACATAATGTGTATATGTAATTAATTCCTGGGTTTTGCAGGGGGGGATGCCTCAAGAGTTGGTCAGTGATAAAGATTTCCTTGCAGTTTGGGGGGGGGGGGGGGTCACTGGGCCAGAATCTATCACAACGTGAAAGGTGCTACTTCTTGGCCCAGCAAACTCCTACTTACCCAGAGTGTAGAAACCCTCAGCCAACTGCAGAGACGTTGATTCTTTACAGATCCTTGAAGACTAAATCTCACTGGGATCGATGTGCTGTTAACAATTTAAAACCCTCTTTATGTCAGACACTTAGGTTGATTTTAAATAACAATTAGTGAATAAAGCACTCATCACGTGTGAAGTGCCGCCGTATTTTGTCATGGCTATTGGTTTGTAATCTCTGCTTTCTATTGCAAATTAATAGTTTTAGCTCAAATGCACACATTCACTTTGTTAAACTTCAAATACATTACACAATTGGGTGCCACAAATTTCCCCTTATTGGTATTCTTTTCCAGGATTTTTCAGGCACTCCTGAGATTCACTACTAATGTGTGCACTTTCTTTAATCCTGGTGTGTAAAGAGCTAACAGTACATCCAGATTTGGTGCACAGTCTGTATGGGCAAACCTCACTGATACCACGGTGTCCAGTCCTTTCCCTACTTGATGTCTGGGCATGAAGCGCTTGTCACAAAGACCCCCTAAACAGAGCCACTTCACAAGTTCTATGTCGCTGGCTCACAGAGAGATGGAACTGGTCTGGAGTGGGGAGAATTCTGAGGGAAAGTCGTGGGTGAGTGAGGAAATGTGTCAGGCAGGATACCTGAGTGTCAGAGATCAGAATGTCCTAAGAACAGCATTTCAGGAAGGAGAGGGTAATCATCAGATAAAAGAACTTTTCCAGTTTGGAAAATGTGCCAATCAGGTCTTTGAATAGCTTGTCCCATTCCTGGGCTACGAGCACTCAAGTGGGGAGGAAAATCAGCGCGTGGAACAGATGGCCCTCTACCCTCCACTAAGCCACCAGGGAACAGGGACAATAAACTTGTAAATGGAGAGGAACACATGTTACCGTGTGCTTCACAATACCCTGAATCCTGGTGAAGCCCACACGCCACGTGGTAGCCGTGGGAATGTGAGTCTTTGTGTCCCATTCAAGTCACACTCCTTGCACTCTTGTAGCGTATGCTGAACACAGGACCACCAAGGAAGGATGTGCAGGCTTTTCCTTTTCTCCAGTCTCTGAGCTTCCCAGGCTCCCTTCCATCCATTAACATCCCAAGTGCTTTGCCTTTCCATCACAGAGCCAAGTCTCACCTCCTCACTAGAGAGATACCTTTGTTCAGCGATTATTTATAAAATTCTTGGGCTTTCCCTCCCCAGCTTCCCTGTGCTGTGTGTGTTTTGGGCCAGGCAGAGATGTGAAAAGGAGGCCAGTGGAGGTAACCATTACTGGCCTTATACATGAGTTGGATTGCATTTGATAGTGGTAAGGCTTGCCCTTCTCACCCCTGCTCCTGAAAATTCCTGCCCGTATTTCTCCTGAGCAAGAGCAGCTTCTCTATTTCATGGTTTTACTCATACTGATTAAAAGCTTTTAACTTCTCTTTTTACCAGAACATCACATTTATACATCAAAAATGGAATATTAAGACCTAATTATTGGCATGCGGAAACGTACAAGGTCAGGCAGGTATGGAAGTACCTTTGAGCAATGTATTTAATCATGATGAGACAAGTTAGAACAAAGGTTCCAGGACTATGCAGCCAATCCCACGATATTTGGTGAAAGAATAACAACAAAAAAGGGCAAAGGGAATTCAAAGAAATCATAAACTTAGTTGGAAACCTTAGCTCTCAGACCATATAATTAAACTATCGAGAAAAAGGAAGATGTTGAATATTAGAATACCTGTTTAAACTTTGTTTTGAATGTCAAGACAAAAATCATCAGTATCTCCAACAACTGCACACAGAAATATTGTAAAATTATTTACTAATCAGCAAAACACTTGCAGTATATAGCGGACAGGAAAAGCACTGTGGCCTCATAGTTTGAATGTGACAAATAATTTAATAGGGAAAGCAATTTAGAAATTAAAAAAAAATTAATGAGACTGCAATCCAACCTCCTATCGCCCAATGCTACTGTTGGTCAAAGTCTGATTACATACTCTGTCCCTATTTCCGTACTGATCTTTTCGTCTCTTTTCACATACTGAACTATCTTCTCCCCAGGTCACTTTCTTTCTCACTGTCACTGTTCCTGTGAAAGTCCATTGTAACCACCCACCTCCCATCCTCCACTTGACTCTCCCTTACTCCCTCCATCTCTATATTGTGCCTCTTGCATCCTCATCCTGCGGACACAACTGGACATTCAAAGGGATGGGATCACAGTTGATCTCTGCCCAGGAAGAGCTCCCTTTTCCAGTGGGATGTGGACGGGGCAAACACAGCGTCAGACACAGCCAGCGGGAGCAGGATTGGGACGTTAAGTACACGGGGGTTCCTAGCACGGGATCGGTCTCTGCCGTCAGGACGGGGCCCACGAGCCTCGCTGAGGCGGTGACCGTGCTTCCGGCCGCGGGAGGACGAGGATGGCGAGGGTTTCAGAAGAGGACTGGGTTCTGTGGGAGGCCTCCGAACGACTTCAACCGGAAACGGACACGGCCCAGAGGACCGAGGAGCGGAGGGATCGACGTCCTGAGCGTCTCAGGGCAACGCTGAACTCCCCCCGGGACTGACGGGCGGCTACGGGGCCTGAGGCGGGGACCAGTAAGTGGCAGGAATCCTTGGGCCCCGGCTATAGAGAATGGGGCCGGGAAGGGGCTGAGGTAAACCTCAAACACCACAATTCACTTACCGAGCGATACCTGCTCTTCCGGAAATCCGCTTCCGGGTTAGAAAGAAATTACGCGAAGGGCGTGGCCTGGGGAGGAAGAGAGGGGACCGGACGTCTGCGGAGGGGCGGGCCAGCGTGGGGCCGCACTGAGAGAGGGTGAGCGGAGAGCGGGGACCACACAACAGTGGAGGGGCAGGGCCCGTGTAGGACGTGGCTAGCGTGGGGAGGAGCTTAGGGAGGGTGAGCGGAGTGGACGGGACGTCACGAGGACTGTGTAGGACGTGACCGGCGTGGGGCGGGGCCTAGGGAGGGTGAGTGGGGTGGGGGTGGGGCCAGTGCCGGACGTGGCCAGCCTGAGGCGGGGCCTAGTGAGGTTGAACTGAGACCGAAAGGGGCAGAAGCGGAGGGGTGGGGCCCGTGTAGGGAGGACGAGCAAAGACCAGAAGGAGACGTAAGCGGTGGGGCGGGTTCGGTGCAGGACCTGGCCGCGTGGTTCGGGGCCTAGGTAGGGTGAACAGGGAGGGTGCGTCCCCGGAGGGGCGGGGTCGGTGTTGGACGTGGCGAGGGTGGGGCGGGGCCGGGTTGTGGTGTGGTCGCGTCCCCCTCCCTCCCGCCTTTCCGGTCCTGCTCCTTACGTCCCACAGGACGCGGGCTGCGTGTGCAGGTGAGTTTGGGGGTGTTTGGTGTCCGAGGAGCCGGCTGCCTGCAGTGACTGTTTCGGGCAGTTCCAGGTGAGACTTAGAGCCCCGAGGCCTCTTACACTGTACGCGCCAGTATGTCCGCGCTAGGGTGACAGGTTTGTGCACAGCCCCGGTTGACTGGACACGCCGGGCTGGAGGCACGGGTGTCGCGGGACCTCGGCGGCCGCGCTTGGCGCTAGTTAGTGGGCCGAGCAGGACAGGCGGGGTCTGCGCTGTTGGCGGAGAGCCGGCGGGAGAGGCGGGACGTGGCCCAGAGCAGGGGGTGCTCAGCGGGAGGCTGAGTGTCCGGGACTTGGGGAGAAGCGTGGGTGCCACCGAGAATCGCTTTGGGTCGTTAAGTCGTCGGTGTTGCAGCTTCACGTTTTCCCGGGGAGACTCCCAGAGCTATCTCAAAGTGTGTAATTGTTTAAGAAAAAAATCAATGACGTTTGTTAAAGCACAGTTACGGATACTTTTTTCAGGCAGCGGGGCTATCTCCACAAGTGGAATTTTGTAGTGCAGAGGGGGAAATTGGACTCAATTCTGAATACAGCCTGGCGGTATAGCTAAGGAGCAAAGGCAGGGCGTCAGTGGGTAGAAAATAAATAAGATGAAATATGAGGGTTAAGGGGGATTGTGACAACAATGACTAATAGGTTTCTTGCTGAAGATCGTCCAGGGCGATCATACATCAGCTGTGGGTTAGTGGAGGATACGGGATCTGGCCAGATATTGTGGGGGCTAGGGGCAGCCTGCTCCAAAATGTACCACAATGACATATTGATTATTTTAAGTAAAAATCCCTTTTTTAAAAAGTTTATTTATTTTGAGAGAGAGTGCGAGCAGAGGAGGGGCAGAGAGAAAGAGAGAGGGAGAGAGGGAGAAATCCAAACTGGCTCCATGCTGTCAGCACAGAGCCTGATGCAGGGCTCAAGCTCATGAATGGTGAGATCATGACCTGAGCTGAAATCAAGAGTTGGATGCTCAACTGACTGAGCCACCCAGGTGCTCCTTAAATAAAGAATTACTTAGGAGACAGGCTATGCTAGGACACTCAGACCCTCCTCTTTCTCCCTGGAGGCAGGAATTAAATCTGGTATGCGAAAGGTATCATCGTACTGATGAGACGAAAACTTTCTAAAGGGCTAATATACAAAGGAAACCATTTTAGATTTCTTTCTAGGTCAGCATAACTGTACATAAACTTGTTCAAACCCCAACCCTGATTCCACCACACATGGCCTGTACATCTGCTTTGCGAACGTGGCCTAAAGCCTAAAGGAAAACCTTCTTGTCCTTGCGATATGGATCAATACTTCCTACTCCCTGCATTCCATTACGATAGAACTTGTGATTCCTATCTATGTGTTCATCTTTAATCTGTTGACCTTGTATAAGATGTAAAAAGTGTATAAACCTGTAAAAACTGTTCATTCTCTGGAGCCCTTTCTTCCCTGTGAAGAGTGTGTTTCCCGGGTAGCTGTCCTAACTTGGGCTGGAATAAAACTCTTTCTTCTAGAGATTCTAATTGGTGTGTTCACTTTGCATCCACATTTCTTGTAGTCAGCAGGGTACGGCGCTTGATTCCAACCCAGGCCTTTTGTGCCCTTCTAACTTCTCTGCACCTCATGGGCTTATCAAGTGAGTTCTCATGATATCCCAACCTCCTCAATTTAGATTGAGGGTCCTGACTCGTATTCCAGTTGTTGAAGGTGGCCGGTTTAGGTAGGAATAACCTAGAGGGATTGGAGTTGATGGGTTGGTTGTTTTACTTTGTCATTATACTAATTGATGATATAAGGCTTAAGGAAGTTTTCTGGCTAGAAATATGAGTGACTGAATCATTCAGCTCAGAAGAGAAGGGACATTTGCTCCTTCTGGTCAAATGACACTTTGAGGAGCCCAGCAAAGAGAGACACCTGGGAGACCTTGACTGCTGAAGAAGGCCCGGACCCCACAGAGGCAGCCAGTCCCCAAAAGGACTGACAGTATCAGATGAAGCCTCAGAAAGCCATTCAGAGTGCCCGCCCGTCACCCTGCAGGCTGTGCAGGTGAACAGGTTAGGCCAGACCTTCATAGGCCTGGAACATCCCTGGCAGCCTGGGGCCAGCTCCCAGGGTGCTGACTGTGCAGGGCCGGGTGGGGCAGGTCAGGGAGCCAGGACCCAGAACCGGGTGATGTCCAGCCAGGCTAGGGGACTGGTGGAACTTTTGGGGGGTTCATGTCAGCATCTGCATTTTTCCAAGCCTTACCTGCACATTTGGGCATATTGGTCTCCCTTAGGGCAGACTTAGAGGACTTGGGTTTGTCCTGCCAGGTCTGGGCCTGCCCACAGGACCAGGGAGCCAGCCAAAGGTGGAACCTGGGAGCCTCGAGTGTTGGGGAAGCCTGGGAACCTATCGCGTAGCCTGTCTAAAGGGTGAGTGACTGTGGCCAGTTGAAGGTTGCCGCCTCAGAAAGATTTTCAGTGTGTGGGCTCCCTCTACCTGGGGATTGGACAGATAGATGTAGACTGTTAGTGTTGTGGAAGTTTTTCAGTATCGGCCCCCAAATCTCCCGAATTCATATTTCTGTGTTAGAAAAATGCACACATTTCATTCCAGAATGTATTGCTAAAATGTGTGGACTGCCTTTTCTGTGCAGGACTATGTGGCTGCAAGGTATTCTTCACTATGACACCTGGGAGACTTGATTGTTGGTAAGCCAGTGACCCCATTAGTAGCCACTGAGTTGAAGTACGGACTGCCTCTGAAGAAGCACTCTGGGGTAGGAGGGCTCTCTGCCCTGGTGGCTGTCGGGGTGGTTCCAGAGCGAATCATGGCTCCAGTGGCCTGGAGGGTCTTAACTGGCCCCACTGCCCTCAAGCGGTCAAAGAGGGGCTGTACTGTGCATCCACGAGCACAAAACCCAGCAAAACCAGCAATGTGAGCCAGCTGTTGAAGTTGGCCCATTAGGAGGAGAAAGCTGCCTCATTTTAATCACCCATCAGAACCACTGAGCATATTTTCCCTGAGGGCACAGGTGGAGGAATCTAGACAGCTCTGTTCAGGTTGGGGGGTGTGGGATGTTCTCGGGGACCCTACAAACAGACCCCTGGGAGTCACGAGTGTTAGAGGATCCTTGGGCCCAATCAGGCATCCAGTCCGAAAGGGCTCTGTGTGTGGCCAGTTTCAAGCTGCCACCTTTGAAAGCATTTCAGGGAGTAACCGGTCTGGACCATGGTGGTACCTAGGTTTGGGGCACCAAACTGAGCCCAACAGCCCATGAGGTTACCAGCAGACAAAAGCAAGGTGGTAGTGAGGGGCTTGACTGTGCACCCTCAGGCTGAGCCTGATCATCGGGGACCCACGATGAGAGCTGTCTGACAGGGCGTGAAAAGGAGGCCCAGGCCTGAGGGACTGTGTGGAGCCGAAAAGATGAATAGGAGGGAGGGAGAGTCTGGGCCCTGGAGCAGGCTGTGGATTGACCCCTCTGACCTCAAGACAGACCCCAGGGAGCATGGTTGTGTGAGAAGCCTTGGGACCCACAAAGCCCCCAGTTCCAAAAGGGTCTGTCTGTGCCGGCCTGAAGCTGCTGCCTTTGGAAGAATTTCAAGGAGTAACCCCTCTCCACCCTCGGATGGTGCAGTTTGGGACACAGGCCCAAGCCCAACATTCCCGGAGGGGCTCAGCTGAAAGAGTCGGTAGGGCAGGTAAATGAGGAGGGCTGGCTACACGTGCAGAGGCCGCTCAGGCCTGAGGGGAAGCCTGGACCTGAGTTGGGAGACCACAGACCCAGCCCCAGAGCAGGCTTCTAGGGGGCCAGTCTGATCCCAACAGCCCAGCATGGCCCTGACCAGCAGGGTGGCCTTGGAGGCCAGTGATGGGGGCTGAGCACACATGGCCGTTACATGGCTGCCACAGGACCCACATGGCCTGAACCTGAAAGAAACAGCCATAAGCAGAGCCTAGGCCTGGGACCAAGCTCTCAGTGGCTCGTGGCATCTGCGGAATCCAAGCCACATCCTAGACAATTGCATGTGTCACCCCTGAAGCAGAGCTGGAGGAATCTGGGCTGACTTGACAGGGAAGAGGCCAGGTCACAGGTGCCCCTGATACCAGTCTCACTGGAAGCCTTAGCTGACATGGAGGCCTCCCCTGGAGGCCAAGCTATAAGCAATTGCACTGCCTTATCAATGCACCAGCTGGCTGGGGTATGCTTCCACAGAAGACCCCTGGGGGCCTTGATTGCTGGTGAAGCTGGGGACTCCGTTTGGCGGGCAGACAGGCTACATGGGGACTGACTGCCACCTCTGGAAACTTCGGAGGGTTGGCTCAGTATTGTGACCTCAGGGTTGGGATCCTGCTGCCCAGGAGGCTATGTGGGTGCTTTGGGCGTGGGCAGAGCTCCACAGGCAGAGAGAGAGCCGGCTTCCTCAAAACAGGTAAAAGGGTGGCTGGTGTGCGTGATGAGACGTTCAGGTGCAGGCAGCCAGGGACCAGCAGAGGCAAGCGTGTGGAGAGATTGGGTGTTGTGGGTAGGCCTTTGGCTGTCCAAGTCCTCTGCCTG